ACTCAAGTATCACTGTGTGGTACTTTATACAACACTGTGTGGTACTTTATACAACACTTTGTGGTACTTTATACAACACTTTGTGGTACTTTATACAACACTTTGTGGTACTTCATACAACCCTGGGAATAAATAAAAGTTTCAAAGTTCAAAGAGCAGATTAACAAACAGGTTTTTCTTTTATTCTGCTGCTTCTGTCCCTCAGAGTAAGAAAGTCCAGAACCAGAACCAGAACCAGAGCCAGATGGACATCCTGGACCCAGAGTTCCAGCAGCAGCTGGAGGGTCTGCGCTGGAGCCTGAAGCAGGAGATCCAGAAGGAGCTGAAGATCAAGGAGGCAGCAGAGAGGCTGAGGGGGGCCGTCACCAACAGGAGGAGCGCTGCAGAGGTGGAGGGCCAGCTCAAGGCCTCCAGCCGCAAACTGGACCACCTGCACCGCCAGCTGCAGGACCTGAACGCCCAGTCCATGGCCCCGGACAGAGACGGAACCACAGGTGGGTCTGCAGCGGCTCAGGACCACCGTGGTCCAGCAGGACCTCTCACTCGTGTCCTTGTTTAAACCCAGGCGTCTCAGAGGACGGCCCTCGGTCCACACAGACGTGTCAGTGGGAGGACGAGACGTCCCCGCGGGCCCGGCGGGTCAGAACCCTGAAGAAGCAGCTGACCATGGAGAGCAAGGTCAAACAGGGAGCTGAGAACATGATCCAGACCTACACCAACGGCTCTGTGAAGGTACCAGAACCAGAACTCCTGGACCAGCTGAGAACTGGACCGCTTTCAGGTCTCAACTTCCTGTTTCCTGTTTCCTGTCCAGGACAGGAAGATGCTGGCGGCGGCGCAGCAGATGCTGCAGGACAGCCGCACCAAGATGGAGCTGCTCAGGATGCAGATCATCAAAGTGAGCCAGGCCAGAGGGGGCGGAGCCACAACCACAGGTACACCTGGACCACACCCTCCTGACCCTCCTGACCCCAGCAGGACCTGGTCTCAGGTCTGACTTAAAGAGTAACTTACCCCAAAATTAACTTTTTTAGCTGATAAACTGTCTAGAATGTGTCTAAAATGTTATATAGTACTGTTTCTGTGCTAATTTT